ACACCATTATATTTTCCGCGCATGTTGGCTCCATTATCGTACCCTTGTCCCCTCATGTCATCAAAATTTACGCCTAATTCCTGCAACTTATCGATAACAACTTTTGTCATATTTGCTCCCGTTGTGTCTTGTAATTCAAGAAAAGTTACGAAGTGTTCAGAAACTACGACTTCAGCTGGTTTTTCCGAAGAAGATTCAGTTGCACTGATAAACCTAAAAACAACTGTCATCTGCTCCATGTGGCTTATATCGGGGGTACAGTCTAAAATAAGTGAGTAGTACTTTGCTCGCTCTAGTTTTGCTAAGATGTCATTTTTGATTTTATTAGCAAGCAATTCAACGATTTCATTTTGAATAGTTTTTCCAAGATAGGTGGTGTAAATTTCACTTGTTGTTATTCGTTGAATATGTTTACTCATAATAGGATCATAATTTCCTAAGAATTCAATAAATTTAAGAAAATTTCCGTTATTCGGTTCGAAAAGCTTTTCACATGTTCCTCTTAATGCTAGATTTTGTCCAGCAAGAGTTCTAATTAACGTTATTATTCTTGCAAGAACTTGTCGCCAATGTTGAGTTTCAGATTGAAATATTTTCTGATTAATGTGATCAATCGTAGCCCCTGATTTAAGTCTCACCTCCAGATCTCTCCAATTTAGATATGCAGTAGTGTGGCCACTTGATGTTTCATGTCGTTTAATAATAACAGAAATATTTTTCCAATCTCGGCAGCCGTCATGCGATGACAGGGAGAATTTATTCGGACTAAATATCTTACAGCAAAAGCAAAATACAGTGTCTTTCGTAATGGAGTACACCAACCAAGTGCGTTTAATTTTATCGCCATTAGACATTCGGCGATAAAAATGAAAGCTTGAAAATTTTCTACCTTGTTCATCTTTGGGAAATAAAGACGGCAATTTTTGAATTGGACCATACTTCATCAGCAATGCTTTAAATTTACCATCTATTATAGGCCATTTTGCCGGATCATTAAAATTAAGAGGCAAATCTTTATTGGTTTTGGGGTCTTCACCACTTTGATCTTCATTGTTTTCATTTTGTCCTATATCATCGACGTTCTGTACAACAACTTCACTTAAATTGGAGATAAATTCCACTTCATCAACATTTTCTGGTTCTTTAGCAGTATCATCATTTCCAGAATTTCTATATTCATTAACACTAACACTATCCGCATATTCTATTTCTCCACCGCTTTCGATTTCAATTTCAACTTCATTTTGGTTTGAAGTTGAAGCTACTATAGGTGCCAGTGCTTTTTCGCTTGATGACCTGCTCAAAAAGTGCAACAAAGCATTCTTCTGCTTGGCAGAATTTGCTTCACGTTGAAGCCTAATTTTCTTGTATTGTGACCCAGACAAGCGCTGTCTCTTACCACGGTCCATTATATTGTATCGTTTAAAGAATTTAAACTTAAAAAAAATATAGCATTGATACATATACCTAAATTTTTATATTTAATGATAATAATAATAATAATAAGTTTATTCAAATACATGAAAAACAAAACGAAAAAACTAACTTTAACTACTTACTTATAAAAATTATTGTTAGACAAATATTAATCAATTTATAAAAGGGTATAATAATTTTTTTTTTTTTTCAAAGTTAAAGTTCGTTTAATAATACACTTTTATAACAATTTACAATAGATATCTCAAAGATAACTTCAATAAAATTTTTAAGAAAGTTTCTTAGGAATATTCTGAAACTTTAATTTGCTTAGTCAGCGTATTTTATGAACCAATAGAATTCGTTTGTTTGTATATTTGGCGGTTTGCTAACATCCATCCCTGAAAAAGAAAAAAGAAACTTTTTTTTACTGTTTCTTCTTCGCCAAATCCCAAATGTAAAACATGTATACAAACAAATACTTTTATTACTATATTATTTATTTGAAAAAATTAGTATGTAATAAAGTTCCCGTAAAAAAAATAAAATAATTTCTTGTTACAAAAAAAAAATTTAAATTTTTTTTTTTTTTTTGGGAAAACACAAAATAAAGAAAAGTGCCGCTCTAGAAAAGTGCCGCCGTCGGCTGTCGCCGACGTCGCCTACGCTTAAAACCGTTCCTGAAAATACTAAGTAAAATAACTATGAAAATACTAAGTAAAATAACTATGAAAATACTAAGTAAAATAACTATGAAAATACTAAGTAAAATAACTATGAAAATACTAAGTAAAATAACTATGAAAATACTAAGTAAAATAACTATGAAAATACTAAGTAAAATAACTATGAAAATACTAAGTAAAATAACTATGAAAATACTAAGTAAAATAACTATGAAAATACTAAGTAAAATAACTATGAAAATACTAAGTAAAATAACTATGAAAATACTAAGTAAACAAGTTTTTCTAAGTTTACTTCATCATAATTACGATTATTATGATTCTCATAAAGGAAAAACAATATGGCTAATTAAAATTTATACTTAATGAGTCTAAAATCTTCTTCTTGATTATCAAAGAAAACCAAGGGACAAATACTAGTTTTTATCGATGGAACTATAAACAGCTTCTACTTGTAATAACTCTCTGTCTTCCTTCTGGTATCCAAAGGATATCGTGATATCAAAAGTTCTACACAATTAAAGTAATATTTGGACGCCTAACTTTAAGAAAATGATGTTTTTCTTTAACATACTAACTTTTTTTTAAAAATGTTATATAAACTTGTGAGTTAAGCGACATTTTGAACTAATCATCGGTCATGTTATATGTTAAATATAAAAATAATTAATTTAATAAAACACAAATTAAGCAGGGTGTAAGCCAAAATGGAAGTCCGAAATTTATTTTTCACATTTGAAACCTTTTCTCTCCTTATTTATTACTTAAAATGCAAGTTATTAAAATGAAACACAGTCTAGTGTAATAAAACTGGTAATATCGATTGATATATTTTGATGTATACAAGTTGTTACTTACTAATTTTACCTCCTGGTGATATTTAAACAATAAAACTTAATAAAAATTCTACCCAGGGTGTATGTCAAAAGGGAAGTCAAAAGTTTGTTCTATCTAAAACAATCATTTTGATTTTTTTTAAACCAATGAAAGAAAAAATTTAAAAAATAGAGTTCTATGGAACAAAATATCTATCGCCACATTTATATAACATTTATACTGAAAGCATCCTAAATGAAATTGTCTCAGAATGTAAAGTAGGATCGACAATAAATGGAATTTATACTGGTGTAATTGCATACGCAGATGATGTAATTTTGCTAAGCCCCAAAATCTCTGGTCTGCAGGAACTAATTAACAAATATCAAACATATGGAGTAGCAAACTTTATCAAGCTAAACACTGAGAAAACAGAATTTCTGATTTCTGGAAAAAGTTATATTCCTAACAACGTTGTTAAAATTAATGGAGTCTCTATATATCTTCAAAATAAATTAAAACATCTGGGTTTTCAATAGGATAACGATACCAGCAAAAATAAAATTGCAACACTCCGAAAGAAAAATTTAAATGAGCGTATAACTCAGTTTCAATTAGTTGCAAAAGCTCTAATCGACAGTGGGATTCGTTACTGCCAGCCATCAACAATTGTTCATCTGTACAATACATTAACAGTGCCGAAGATTATATATGGTCTTGAACTATGTAAATATGATACTAATTTTCTCAGCAAAATAGACGCTGTTGGAAGAGCAGTCTTAAAATCATTTTTCTGTATTTCGAAGTACAGTAAAAATTACCTTCATTCTTTTTTTAAAATAGAAGATATCTCAACTATTCTCCTTAGGAACAAAGTTAATCTTTTTATCAGGCTGCTAAAAAATCAAACTTGTTACTCACTGATAATTAATCAAATACAGGAAACACAGAATAAAAAATCCTTTACAAACGAAGTATTTGATGCATGCAACACACTTGATTTAAATTTCATACAGTGCATGTTAAATGGCAAAAAAATTAAATTGACGCAACCCATCGTAGAGCTACAAACTAATATTATGCTAATATTGAAAGAAACGTTCCAGTTTTGGAATTTAAAAGAAAAGAGAGAGGCTTTTAAAATCTTGATGGAGTAGAATGTTCCTAGAACTCTGTCCCAATAATATGTGGAAAACAAACCGGCTGTTTATAAGCATTTATTGTTAACAACTACAAGAGCCGTGTTGTTTTAGCTGATTTTTAATTTATTGTTTGACTATTTAAATATTATTTTACCTCTAATTTACTATCGGGTGATAAAAAGAAAATATAATATAATAAAATAAGGTATGTCAGTTCAAGTTTATAATTAAGTTATTTAACTCAAATGTTAGTTTAACCTCAATCAAAATATTGTTATTATTATTTTTTAACAATCGCAAAATTATGAAACCGATTTACTATTTTTTGGTTTTTAATTTTTTGGAAATTTGTTTTACGGTTTTTGATTTTTTTCCAACCGTTTCAGATAATTTGTTTAGCTTTAGCTGTAGTTTGGTTTTAATAGTTACATATAATAAGACTTTTTTCAACAATATAATCAAGTTGAAAAACTTTTATATTACTTTTTTAAGTAAATCCAACGACTTAGCGGACATCCTCTAGACACGCCCCTGAGTATATATATATATATATATATATATATATATATATATATATATATATATATATATATATATATATATATATATATATATATATATATATATATATATATATATATATATATATATATATATATATTATATATATATATATATATATGTATATATATATATATATATGTATATATATATATATATATATATATATATATATATATATATATATATATATATATATATATATATTTATATACGTTATTACCTTTAAACGATTTTTTTTTATAGGTGTTAATTAAATTAAGAACTTCCCTGCAGAACCTAGGTGAGATTTCTTTACTTTAATTATGATAAATTTTAAAAAAAGAGTACAAAATGATTACAATTATAAATTGTAAATTTATTATTTGAAAGATGCATAATGGATAGTATGCAGTTTACGCAAGTGAAGGAATATAATTAGCTCTTTGCAGTTATGTTGCTGCCATTATTTTCAATGGAAAAAATACAAAATTTATTATTTAACTAAATTAACCAACTTTGATATACCTGCATATTTAAGAGTATGAAAAAGATTGTATTAGCTTTTCTTTTATTTTCTCAAGGTGTTTTATAGCTAATTATGTTCCTTAACTTGCATATGAGCAAAATATATTCTTTCACTTGAATAAATTACTATACAAATTATTCAAGTGAAGGAAAATAATTAGATCTTTGCAATTATTTTCATTTGCTGCTACTGTATTGTTTTCAAGAAAAAAAAAGCAAAATATATTATTTAACTAAATTAACCACTTTTGATAAACCTGCACATTTAACTGTTGGAACAAAATTGTATTATCTTGGTCCTTTATTTTCTAAAGGTGTTTTAAGTTCAAACAATTAGCATTGTTTATTAGGTGTGAATGCTTGTTTCTTTGTTTACAAATAATCATTAAAAATAAAATTAAAGTTAATATTGTTATACGAATAATCAAATGCCTTGAAGATCTTTTTGACATCTGTACAAAGAAAAAAAACCTCCATGCTAGATTTTTTTTGTTTAACAAAGTATAAGAATCGTATATTACGCTTTATTCAAGCTAAATACTGCAAAATGTTTTTTTGATATATGTAAGAATTTGTTGAAAACAAGTTTTTTGTAGAATTTGTTGAAAAAACAATTCTAATTGTAGAAATGTTTTTCAAGTTTGTAATTTTATATTTAATTGTTATTTTGAGTGTTATGATATAATATCAATATATTAGCTACTTTTAAATTAAGTAATTTATAATTATAACTAAATTAAATCTTTTTTTTTTTGTTATAGTTGTCGTAACGGAGCGTTTATCTTATTTATTAAAATGTCCTGATGAATCTGTAATAAAAATTCAAAATGCTATATATGGTGACTTTGGCAAGTTAAATAGATGTAACTTAACCGTCACAAATGTTGTTCAAAATATGTGTAATGGAAACAGTAGTTGTTTAATTTCTTCGAATAATGATGTGTTCGGTGTTGATCCGTGTTTAACGGTTACTAAGTCCACTATTGTAGACTACTATTGTTATTTAGAAAGTAAGTTGAGTTAATTTTTTGATATAATTTATTTGAAAGGTTACTTAATATACATAATTACAGCACATATATATATATATATATATATATATATATATATATATATATATATATATATATATATATATATATATATATATATATATATATATATATATATATATATATATATATATATATATATATATATATATATATATATATATATATATATATATATATATATATATATATATATATATATTAGGGCTGTTCATGTGAACACAGGAAAAAATTTTTTTTCTCGGATTTGAAAGCATAGTTGTTTATTTTGTGCCATTTGACATAGTAATTGACTGTGTGAAAAATCTGTCTAATCAGATAATGTTTAGGGGGTGCTCAATGACCATAAAGTTTTACGAAAAACGTCAAAAACGTGGAAAAAGTTCCAAAGTTCCTAAAATTTCTAGAACCTGGTTAGTTAGATTTTTTCCACTGAAATATTGTCTGATTGCGTGCTATATAGATTAATTAAAGTGCAGCAGATTAACTGTCATCAGGGCACCAGACTAAAAAATGTATGCTAGTGTTTAAAACAACTGTGTTTATATCATTTTGTTAAAATTTGTATCCATAATTTTAATACTATTATTTAACTCAATTTTGAATTTGTTCAAACAGAATAAAAAGGTTTACAAGTAAAAATATTATTTTTATTTGGAATTTCAGTTTGACAACAAATGTATTAATATTTTGATAGTACCTAACCTTAGTAACCTATTACAGAAAACTAGCATGGTAGTCTGGTAGTGTATTGTTTGTTATTAAGTGCAGATAATAATAATTTCTAATTTGAAAATATTTATTTAATTTCTTTAGTAATAATTATTATTATATATTGCTGCAGCTGCATAAACCAACAACTGAATGATAAGTTTGTATAATATGGTATTGAGTTTTGATTTTCTCATAATTTTTCAGTTATCATTGAAATGGCAGCATCATCTCGTGTTGCTATCTCTACACGACTTCAAACCGAAATCTTTTTAATTGGACAACCAGAGCCAAATCTTCCAGATAAAGTTCTTCCCTTAACATCTGATGTTTTAAAAACGTTTTTTTATCATCTTAATTCAACCAAAAAGTCAGTGCCTGAAAGTCTTAAAACAACTGTCGATGAACTGATTATTATTTGGAATAAAGCCCGTATTCCGACAGCATTTCATCCGAATGTAGTCTTAAAGTTGAAAACTTTAGTCCAGGAATTTAAATTAATAAAAAAAAAAAAATCCAGATTGTCAGATTCTCAGAAATCAAGAGAGAAATCATTTACAGACACCATTGGCCTACTTTTTGACATTGCCCACAAGGATGCTGAAACGATGAACAGAATTGAAGAAGATAAAGAATTTTTATTGGATCAGAGATGTCAGAGAAAAATGGTGATGTTTGGAGAGGACAAAGAACTTTCAAAATTAGAAGCAAGAAATGAAGCAAGGAAACAAGCAGAGAGAGAACGAAAGCTAAAAGAAGAGCAATGATGGCATTTCTCAAAGAAAACCTGCATGTTAAAATGCCAAGGGATGACTACAAAGAAATCATGGATCTCTGTCTGTTAATACTTGGAAAACTGCCTGATCAAGAAGAGAAAAATTATCATTTCGAGATCCCTGGTGCTTATTACATGGCTCGCTGGATGGCCAAGGCTATTTATTGTTTTAAGATTTATTTATTTCGTGAAGAGTTCAAGTTGACCACAAAAGAGGAAAAAAATCTCTGTGAATTTTGCTTATTTGCTAGTCTGGTTTATGTAAAATCTTGGATATCATGCCCAAATGCCAGCGATGCTGCAGTTAATGACTTCTTTCTGTTTCAGCAATTTAGGCAGTTTGCAGTTGTGAATAAAACGATTTCCGAGGCAGCAGTCAAGAAATTTTAAAACCATTTGTGGTACCTTGCACCAGAATTGGTCCCACTAGCTTTGTTTTCAAACAAACTTAAAACGGAAGAGAAGCGAAAAATGATTTCCAACATGAAATTTCACGGTGAGAACTGGTCTGAAAGGTTGATCAAATTAAAGAACATTGAAAGTCTAGAAAAGAAATCTCTGGACATGCTGGTGACATCAGTTTCAGCAAGTGCGTTGCGGTCAATGAAGGTTGATATTGATTTTCTGTTCAACAACGATCCAGCTACCTGGAATGATTCCCCAGAATACCAAGAAGGAAAAAATTTAGTATATTCATTGAAAGTAGTAAATGATGCTGCCGAACGATCTGTGGCTTTAATGTCGATGTTTAATGAATCGATTACAAGGAATGAATCTGAAATGCAGAGGTTAATTCAGGTGGTTGAGGATCACACAAAGCGAGTGCCAGATGGCAGAAAGTGTACTCTGAAGAGTTATAGTCCTCGCTAGCATTAACATTGCACGAACTATAACATTATGGTAATTAAATGTTAATTGCTCATATGTTTTTGAGTTGACCTACTTAGTAGTTGATAACGGTTTAAGAAACTGTTACTCCTTTACAATAATTTTTTTTGTTTATAATTCGTATTTTAATCAATGACAAAGAGTCAAAAATCTTAGTGTTTTATTTTGATTTAACAAAAACCGCAGAACTTTAGTCGTATTGCAGTATTTTATTTCATTAATTTCTCTGCTAATAAACCAGTATAAAGTGGATGTGGATTGTAATTTGTATTCAGAATTTAATATTTAGAGATAATTAAAACTGATTAAATCTAAAAAATCTAATTAACCGGGTTTTAGAAATTTGTGGAACTTTGTTACTTTTTCCATGTTTTTCACATTTTTCGTAAAACTTTATGGTTATTGAGCACCCCCTAAACATTATCTGATCGGAAAGATTTTTTGCACAGTTAATTAATATGTCAAATGGCACAAAATAAACAACTATGCAATCAAATCTGAAAAAAAAATTTTTTTTGGACAGCCCTAATATATATATATATATATATATATATATATATATATATATATATATATATATATATATATATATATATATATATATATATATATATATATATATATATATATATATGCATATATGTATATATATATGTATACATATATATATATATATATAAACATATATATATATACATATATATATATATATATATATATATATATATATATATATATATATATATATATATATATATATATATATATATATATATATATATATATATATATATATATATATATATATATATATATTTATCTATATATCAGGCGTGGATTTAGTATATTTTGATGTTTGATATTTGATATAGAACAAACTCTAAAAGTTTATATGTTTATACTTATGTCAAATAAGGATGCTTTGCAAAAGTTTGTAATGATTGGAATCTGGGAACAAAAAAGCCTTCAAAGTTTAGCCACAACTGCCCCAAACAAGAAGGCAACAAGTTGATAAAATAATTTTTTTGCTTTTTTTTTTTTGTTGCTTTTTTTCTCTATTTACATAACATAAGAAATTTAATAATTCCACTATATAATATAAAATTTAACAAAATAAGTTAAATCAATTTGTCAAAGAGTAAAATAAAAACTTTGTAACTACTCACATTTTATAACAAAACAGTCAAAGAAAAAATAAACTAAAACACATTAAACAAGAAAAATAATAACAATAAAGACAAAAATCTTCAGTAGTTAAATTCATTTTCTTCTATATTTTTAAGTATAAAAAATATTGGAACTTACAAATCCTTAAATGTATCTATTTAATTTTATTCTCTCAAATCAAATAGTTCTACAAATAATACTTTGTCTATTTTATCATTTATCAGAATAGGTTTTAGAAACTATCTCTCAATAAAAAGACTGTAAAAGTATAAAATTTTTCATATTACATTGAAGGTGAATTGAACTTCAAAAGAACTGCACACGATTAGATTAAATTGATAACTAAAACAATAGATATTTGTTGCCTAATATGAACTGAAATTTAAAATGAACTATTTCAATGCCGAATTGAAACTAACATTTTGCAATATTTTACTAAAACTAATACCACAACTTCCGCCGTACAAAACTAATTTCATTAGAAATATATATATATATATATATATATATATATATATATATATATATATATATATATATATATATATATATATATATATATATATATATATATATATATATATATATATATATATATATATATATATATATATATATATATATATATATATATATATATATATATATATATATATATATATATACAGAATCGGACAAAACAATTGCAACCAAATAATGCTAATTTAGATTCTTTATATAAAAGTGTAGCATTTTTTCAATTTTGAGAAACAACTATGTAACTGTTTAGAGACAACGTTCTTCAAATTTTATTCATATCAAAGTTCATTATTTGTACACAAAAATTAATAAACAAATCAAAAGTGTTAAAAAAAAAGTAGATTTCCTTCAGGACAAAACAAGTGCAACTCCACAGAATGTTGACCAAGCAGTGTTTCGCTATCATTATTTCGTGGCTAATCCTTTGTTGTCGATCACAGCCTTGCATCTTCGAGGCATAGAATTGATCAGTTGAACAATAAAACTTTATGGAATCGCCTTTTGGATTAGTTGAAACATTTGATCGTTATTACGAACACCTTCACGTTTAATTCTCCAGCTGACGATCTCCTACAGGATATTGTTAGAGAACCTGTGGGAGATCGTCAAAAAACCACTTCTTAACTACTTTTGGGAGATCGGAATAAACCACTGCTTGACTACTTTTTCAGTGTGTTTCGGATCGTTGTCTTGCTGAAAATTATTGGCATATTCCATTGATTCAATGTATTGGACCTCGACCGTTAACAGAAAAACACCCCCAAACCATTACACTGCCTCCACCATGCTTCACGGTCTTATGGCAGTAACGTAAATCGAGGCGTTTTCCGGCCGGTCAACGTACACGGCAAATGCCATCGCTCCCATCATTGGGAGCGATGGCATATAAGTGTTGAACTTTGATTCATCACTAAACAGGACATTCCGTCATTTCTGCACATTCCAGTCAATATGAGATGTAGCAAACAGGAGTCTTTTCTTCTGGTTCTTTAGTGAAATCAGCGGTATCTTTGCAGGGCGTCAAGAAAACAATCCGGCTTCAACAGCACGTCGTCTGATTGTTCGGTCGGATACAGGCAACTCTAATTGCTTTTGTATCTTGACTGATGATATCCAGGGATCCTTTTTGACGGATCTGATGAGCATAGAATTCTCTCTAGAAGTGGTGGAACGCGGTTTTCCAACTTTGTTATCTGCTGCCGTAGAAGGATATTTGGAACATAGTCTTGATACGGTCCATTTTTTCACACGATGTTTATCACAAATACTTTTTTTGTAACATTCTATTTATGTAATCGCTAATAGTTTTCTTTCTAGTTCAATCCAAGACTGTCAGGAGCCATTTTTGTTCTTGAAGTCATAAAAATAATAAAAATAATTAATCACGCTTCTCAAGGCTTAGCGTGTTACATTTACCTTGTGAAGATACAATAATGCTCTGTGGAACACAACGTCTTGGTTGGATGTGGACTGTATTGATGTAATGAAAAACTTGTTGTATTTCACTTCTTGTATTGATATTCTTCGATAAAACACTTTGATAAAACTTACTTAGATAAACTGTCTTGATAATATTGACTGATTGACTTCCATATACTGACTAAATTACATTTCGGTTTACATTTCTCTTCTATAGTAAAACGAACCTGTGTGAACCTGTTCTGGAAGATTCTAGATGCATCTTTTCGATGCTTCTGGAAGTTTCTGGATTCGTCTGGATGCTTCTGAACAATTCTGGATACTTCTGGATGCTTCCAGATGCTTCTTCTGGAAACTTCTTGAAGCTTCTGGATACTTCCTTTAATTATTAAAAAACTTCCGTGACGTTAAAACGGAATAGACTCAAGAAAATGAAACAAACTAAATAAGTTGCACTTGTATTGTCCGCTGCAAAATGGCACTTGTCAACAAAAATCTGCCTGTGTGCTGTCACCTGTTAGCTGATTGCTCATGTCATTGCATGGTATGACTACAGACTCCTGAACTGTTTGCTGTGGTAGTACAATTTGTTTCGTTTTTAAGACATGTAAAATTAGGAACACTTTTTAGTGTTATTCGATGTTAGTTGCAAATGTTTTGTCTAATACTGTATATATATATATATATATATATATATATATATATATATATATATATATATATATATATATATATATATATATATATATATATATATATATATATATATATATATATATATATATAAATAAACAAAATCTATAAATATAATTTTTTTTAGAATCAACCTTTGTTGACGAGATAGAGAATAAATACACCAATAAAACATTAAATGTTTTTTATGATGAGTATTGGGTATCATTTACGTTATTATCACCGGGAAATCAACAGATTAATATTTTGCAAATGAATGATAAAAATAATAATAGCGTGCTGACCTTAGATATTTATAATGACTTTTTAAAGATTATCACATTCAATGGTACTTATTTTATGAAAATGGTAGCTAATACATGGAATTCAATTGTAATTTCTCAAAGTTTCATACACAATAACAATACTTATGTTATAACTGGAGTTGTTAATGAAACTAATCAATTTTCAAATATAAGTACTTCTCCAATGGTGTTCACCGATGTTATTTTGCATATATTTTCTGACTGCATTTTAAAATCTGTCTGTAGTTATGGATCAATTAAAAGCTTATCAATTTACAGTAAAACACAAGGTAAATTATTGCTTACTAGCTGTCCGGACCCATAAATTACGGTTCTAGGTAAATATATTCTACACCAAGGTAAATATATTCTACACCTAGATAAATATATTCTACATACTTTATTCTAGGTAAATATATACTCTATATAATCTACGGGTCTAGGTAAATATTTTCTACACCGACCTTTTCTTTATTTATTCCATACTTGAATATTTTTTAGTAAGAGGCATAAAAATATCTATATACATATAGAAACACTTTACTTATTGTTTACTTTTTAAAGATTTAAAAAAAAAATCTAATCAACTTCAAAAAGCTTTATACATTTTCGTAGCCGTTGCGTGAATTGCTATTTATTAACAGATTGGATATTACCCAGTTGGCACCGTACTAAAAAAAGAAGTTATTTGAACGTTCAAAAGACGTCCTAAACGTTCAAAAGACGTTAAAAATGTTAAAAAACGTTCGAAAGACATTTATTTTATATCTTATATCCACTGGGTGGTACCTGTCTAGAATACCCGCTTGAAATAGGTTAAATAATCACCATCGGTTTATTGAATTTAAAAAACATGAAATGACTCATGACCCGTATACGGGACATGATAAGTCTACTCCATTAACGATAATCTAATAATTTCGCTTTATTTCAATAAATTTTGAAAAAGGACAAAATATCAAATATCAAAATATGCACCAAAATTTTTAACTTACTAAGAAAGTAATTAAGGCGCAGGTTTATTTGAAAATAGCTGGGCATAAAAGACTGGAAAATAAATACAGCCACAAGGTAAAAAGCAATCTAGCTACGGGCTACGAGTTTTAACGGCATACGACTTTTCAAAAAAAATGTATTACTTTAAAAAAATCAATAATTTAGTCAGCCTATGCCGTAAAATCAAGTCGTTTGTGGCTTAACGACAAACCGATTTGCAATGACTGATCTTTTTTTTAGTTTCGTTTTTTTTAGTTTTAAGTAATCGCTTTGAAAGCCGATTTTACACAGCAAGTAAAAATAAACTATCTTAATTGTTTATATTATTTTTACTTTAAAAATATGTTGGAGTATTATACTATTTTTTGCTTCGTTGATTATTTTAAGGTATAGCCTTAGTCACAATGGCTATACCCTAGATCCACGCTTGAATGCTGAAAATCAAAATTAAGGAGATATTAATGAAATGAAATTTTCAAGTAAAAGTAAATCATTAAAATTTAATAATTTACTTAACTTGAAGTTTACATGTTAAATATTTTCATAGACTTTTGTTCAAATAGATAAAATACAAATCACGTTTTTTTTTTGTAGTTTTGGAAAATAAAAGATATCTTTATTTACACGTGTTTACATGTGTATTTACTAATAAACAAAACATAATTTTTTAAAATTGTTTACTGAACAACACGTCATCTGAGTAATCTAAAAAAATAAATCGAATTAAAAAACCCACATGTAATAACTGGAAGTCAATTTATTTATATAATTTACATAATAACAACACAAAGTATAAAATAAAGTTTTATTTTCAAAAAAAATTTAACTACATCTGTATCAAAATTTAATAAAATTATTTATTTAAAAAAAAAAAAAAAAATAATAATGATCTAAATAAGAAAATATATTTTAATCCTCCTGATTAAGGTCGCCGCGTTGTTTTTAATTTTTGTTACCGTAAACCGGGGTAACTTTGACCATTTTTTAAAATTTAAATTAAACATCTGTAACTTTTAAACAGTAAAGTAACGTTTTACTGTTTTAAATTGTAAAACGTTACTTAATTGATTAAAAGATACAGATTTAATTTAAATCGGTAACTTTTTGTTCAACTAAAATTTCCGGTTTATGGTATTTACAATGCACAACAAAACAATTTTCTTTCTTTTAAAACAAATTTTTTTCTTTAAAAACATTTTACTTTGTATTTTAGAAAAATCAAAAAAGATTAAACTTGATTAAAAAAAACAAAAAAAAAACGATAGTTAGGAATCGAATCTAGACTTCCTGCCTCAGAGCCTTGCGCGCTAACCATTCGGCTAAGCATACTTTTTGTCTAATGGAAATTTTAAAACTATATAACATAATAAAGGCTTTATCAAACAAAAATATGTGCTTTAGATCAAATCTTAGGAGATATTACTGCAATGCAATTTTCAAGTAAAAGATATATGTTTTAGTATATTTTTAACATTACATAATTTGAAGAAAGTTAGATATTTGCGTTAGATAAATACACTTTCGTTTGTATTTCTTATATAAAAAAGTGCTGCTATTCCTTCTCGCTATTACCCTGGTTGCAATGGCTGCCAAGAATATCGTGCCAAACACTCTCCAATGAGCATTTACTTGTTCCCTATTATATTATATGATATTATTATTATTGCTATTATTGCTATTATTATTATTGTTATTAAAAACTTTCAATAATAAAATAACAACAGTAATAGTATTATTATTAGATGCTTTTAACTTTTTAAAGCAGTTATTTACAAAAAGTTAAAAGTAGGTTTTTAAAAAAAATAAAAAAAAACAATCAAAATAAAACAAAAACACTCTAAAAACACATTTTTAGAAAGATTTTTTTATAATTGTTTATTCTTAATTAGTTAGTGTCTTATTTAAAACACTGAAATTTAAAATAAATAATGCTTTAAAGTTTCCTCTAATAAATATAAGAGTTTAACATTTTGTACAAACCTCAAATAACTGTAGTATAGTTTTTAAGTGGTTGATTTAAAAATAAACGTACATAAAGACCATTAGTAAATAATATTTTAGTTTTGTTTTTTATTTATAATACTTGAGTAAACTGGTGTCTAAACAAACAATAAATTAAAAATTTGACTTTTATATTTTTTTGCTGTTGTAAGTTTATTGCTTTAATTTTTTATAAATTTTTGCAATATGATAATTTAACCGTTTTATTAAAACAATAAGAATTAACTTAAAAACATAAATATTGTTTAATGTTTAAAAGCTTTATAAAATTTCTTTAGAAAAAGTTAGAGTTTCAAAATTATTCAAAACATAGTTATAAATGCTGAGGTTTAACTACTTTTTCCTTTTGTTTCCTATAAAAAAAAACGTTTATTAAAAAGGGTAAAAATTTTTTTTAAAGAAAAAACTTAGTTTACCAAAAATAGAATAAAATCATTTTAAAGAGAATTGTAAATGTCATTCATTTAATAAATGTGTATTTATTTTACTAGTATGTATTTCATTAAAATAAATACATATTTACATTAATAAATAAAAATATTATATAAAATACTGTTTGATAATTTAAATAAAATGTCTTTATTTATAAACAATCATCCAAAGATATTTGTTTTTATTTAAAAGCATTTTGCATAAAATACAAATATAATTAATTAAAAGTTATTTATTATATCAAATACATTTCTTTTTTAATTTAAAACAAGATACAGCGCACATTTGCCTCAGAAACGTAAGATCCGTGGTTCAAACCCCACCTCTAGGCAAGTTTCGCGACATCGCAAAGTGGAAAATAGTACTTCAAAATCGTACCATAAATGTTTTTTGTTCAAATTTCAATTTTACTACTAAAATTAAATATATATATATATTTTCTAATAGTTTAACAGTCAATCTTTACTATAATACGGGAATTTTACCTAATTTTTTTTAAAAAGATCATTTTTGAAGCCCTACCGTTTCATATTTTTGAAAATTTTTAATTTAAACTTATTTGCTTCATAACTTTAAAATATATTTTCTATAAAACTTTTTATAAATAAGTAAAAAGTATTATATATTTTTGAAAGCATCATGTTAAAGTTTTAACAATGTTTTAAAAGCAAAATTAAACATTAAAATTTTAAAATTCATACAAAAGAGTTTTTCATATAAAAAATAAAGCATAAAAATTATAAAAAAAAAACTAAAAATTCAATAGCATAATTACTAAGCTAAATAAATAAATATTCTAAATTATCTGAATTAAAAAAAAAATTAATACTGAATTAAAAGAAAAAATAAAACAGTAATTATACATTGTATTTGAATTAATATTATTGATCTTTCTGTAGTTAAGTATTAACTGAAAGCTTAATTGTTTTCAGTTATATTTATATTTTATTAAGTTATATGGTCACAATGGAGTGAGTGGTCTGATTGTGAAGCATCTTGTGTCATGACAAGAACTCGCAATTGTAGCAATAATCAGTTGTTAAATTGTATTGGAAGAAACACTGAGGTTGATACATGCAAGTATAAGTATCAAGGTAATTTTGGTTTTTAAATGAATATTACTGTTTTTTGTATACTTTTTTTATTATTGTATAGTTTCTTTATGTTTCTTTATTATAAACTAATCATAATGTCATAAGTTCAGTTGCTAATTATTTACTTAAATGTATTGCCATAGATGACATTATACTGGAAGATTTTTTGTACATTGACCTAATGTAAAGTTAAACATTTGAATATATATATATATATATATATATATATATATATATATATATATATATATATATATATATATATATATATATATATATATATATATATATATATATATATATATATATATATATATATATATATATATATATATATATATATATATATATTACGTGTAGATAGTTTTCAACTTTTACAATATTTATAATAAATACCAAATTGATTCAAAGTTTCATAATAATGTTGCATGCAAGATTTTTTGTAATGCTAATTAAAATTTTTCACGTTTTAATTGTGGTTTTGTTCAAGTTTTTTAGTGCTATTATTACTTATATTATTGTTATTATTTTTTATTATTATTATGATAATAGTTATTGTTATTATAATCATAATAATGATAATAAAAAAAATAATGATAATAAAAAGAACTAAAAAAACAACTATAATAATAATAAATATATTATAGTAATAACAATAAAAACAGTAATTTTTATTTTAGCTCAAGAATCAATTGTATTAAAAAATGAAACATTGATTCAGTCAGGTTTTCTTGTTGGTACATTAAAAAATATGAACAAAGAGTATATGGTATCTTTGGAAGTCAAACCTACCTCATTTGATAATACAACGTATAGAAATATTCTACAGTTAACTGCAAACAGAAGTTTAAGTAATTATGGTGATAGAAATCCTCTTATTTATTTCACAAATAAAACTGGATGTTTAGTTGTTTCATCAGCAATAAATGGCATTAAAAATAAAATTCTTACAATCAAGACACTTTCTTTAAATGAGTGGGCTTCAATAAAAGTTGTGCAGCAGCTTGTAAATGGAAGTTACAACTTCTCTGTTGCAATTAACGGAAACGTTATTACATCTGTAATAAATCTACAACCCATAGAGTTTTCAAACGCTAAAGTTTATGCGTCAGATCCATGGAATCCAGCGCAATCTGGTTTTATAAGAAATTTGATTGTTCGCAGTGGAACTTTTGGTAACTATTTAATATAATTAATAAATGCCACTTTTCAATTAACTTTTTATTTAATTTTTAATTTACTTTTATTTAAGTATTTACTTGACCCCGAATGCTCATATTTTTTGATGTGGAAAGAGCCAAAAGTATTTTGCATCTTTCCACATAAAATTATTCGAATTTTGAAACAAATAAGATCTTTCTTTTGTTTCGTAATTTACCAATACCTTTTAGAAAGTCTAAATCCTTTAATTGTAAAGAACTAAATGTAAGATGTATACTTTTTGTAGATTTAAAAAGACTTATAAATCTTAAGAAAAAAAGTTTTATAACTTTTTAGCTGAAAACTTTTTGTTATGTGACAGTAACTACAAAATTTTAAGTTGAGCAAGATTAAAATAGTAACGAAAAATTTTTTAGAAAATAAAAGTAATAGTGCAAAAACTTGTTTTATTTGTAGAGGATACGGTAATGTCAGCTTGTAGAGGATACGGTTTGATGTCAGCTTTAGTCGAATAAGCGTCATTGGTAAAAAAGGATGCGTGAACTTCCTATTTAAGTGCTATTCTGCGGTGTTCTGTGATGAGACAGTAACACACACACAAATATTAATTATCAAAAATTATCAACAATAAATAAACCAAGTATTTCTTAAAAACAGATATTTTTCTCTAAGTACAATCAAGTTAAATCTTTAATTATTAAAAACTTTAATTATTATAGTTATATTATTTAATTTTTTTTATTTCTTTAAATTAATGATACACTCTTACAATTAGAAGTAGAGTATATGTATCTAAGTATATATATATATATATATATATATATATATATATATATATATATATATATATATATATATATATATATATATATATATATATATATATATATATATATATATATATATATATATATATACAACTCTTGTATTTTAAATATTCGGTGATATTTGTTTCTAATATATCACGAGGTTTTAGTGCCGACAACACGGGTTTGGAAGTGTAAGATTTGTTAAGCACATTTAATGTTAAGTTTTCTCATAATTTAAATAATGATTTAAATGCTATTAACTCTTTTTTCAAAATAGCTTTTTAAATATCACTATACAAAAGCGATCAAAACTGTAAACTCAGAATAGATTTAGTTTCTTAATTTTGGTTTTGTTTTTATTTTGGTAATTTTTTTAATACGGTTTATTGTTTCTGAACGTCTCTATATTAAATAAAAATAACAAGAAAAGAAAAAAAGTTAAAAGTATTTAATTTTGAAAAATAACAAAAATATGTAAAAAGAAAATCTAAAAAATATATAACAAAAGAGATCAACAAAAATTTCGCAATTATATAACAATAACATTACTCCAATATCTTTAATACCTCATTTATACCGACAATAAAACCAGTTTTAACAGCAGTGTTTTAAATTGGGTCTGTATTTTTTTATTATTTTTTTATTTTTGTTTTAACAGCAGTATTTTAAATTAGTTCTGCATTTTTATTGTTATTTTTGATATATTTTTCTGGAATATCTAGCGTAGTTACAATAAGATGTTTTGGTTAAACTTAAATTTATTTCGTAGATTATATGAAAAACTTATGAAATATCATTCATAAATTGCTGCATTTGAATTTAAAACCGCATTTAATTTAAACCATTGCTTTAGCATCTGAATTTGCTGCATTTTAAATGCTGCATTTGAGTTGACACTTTAAATATACGATAAATTTTGTTTATAAACTATTGATAACTTTGAGTTCTTTTTCGATAGCTAAACGAACACGTAAAAATAGTCAAAGTTGCAAACTAAGTGTTATGATTGGTTTTGCAAGTGAGTTTTTAGATTCTGAGTTACCCACATTAAGAGATGTTATAAAGTATAGCCTGTTTTTAAGAAGAGATAACAACTGCGAAGCAAATGCAAAAATTAAAAATAGACGCAAAAAAGGTTTTCTTTAAAGTGAAAACACAATGGTTGAAAGCGAATCCTGAAATTCCTATTGTGACTGACAAAGTGGGCGTTAATAAAATAATAAAATTATGGAAAAAAACTACCGATATTATTAACTACAGGTGTAAAACTGAAATTACTTCAGGTTTACACCTGAAGTTAATAATATCGGTAGTGTAAGTGTGACCAGAAACAATGTCACACTTACACTTTTTGCTATATCAAATAGCTTGTCCAAGTAGAAGTAGTTTACTTCTACTTGGACAAGCTATTTGATATAGCAAAAGTGTAAGTGTGACATTGTTTCTGGTGAAGAGGCAGGTTGTAATTCTTGTACTTTTAAAGCGCTTATTTCTTGTCAATGCAATAGAGAAAACAAAATTCCTACAATAGAACTTCAGTTTATGAAATTTCAAAGAGAAAAATTTAGAACAAAATGTAGTAAGCAAATAATTGCTCCGGATTTTAAAGAAACCAATAGACAAGTAAAAAATAATAAAGAAAGGCCTCTGGAAAAAAGAAGCCACAAAAAGATTACCTATCCTTTTATTCTCAAGAAAATGAAATCAAAGAAACAACTGATAATATTGCGAATACTGACAATGAAGACGTTGTTTATCACAATAGTTTTGAGTACATAATTAGAAAGGTATCGAAAAAGACATTGAACATGGAAGAAGTTGCATTAGCATCAATAAGATATGGGGCTGCTATTTCAACATTTGCACTGAAAGCAGCTAAAGAAGCAGGTTACTTAAAAAGAATGTGTTTGACAGTGAAATATTGATAGATCATAAGAAAATTGAAAGATCTAAATTGAAGGTGATGAAACAATTAAAAACTGAAAAATGATAATGTTGTAAAAGATGGAGTTCAATGTATTTTGTTTGATGGGAGAAAGGATGAGACAAAATGTTCCTTGATAGGAGAAGATAGAAATTTCACCACAGACTTGTTCAAAAAGACCATTGTTCGGTTTATGCAGAGCCAGGTGATTTATATCTGTACCATTTTACAAATGATAAAGAAAACCAATCTGAGTGTAATACCCCAGCAGAGCACATAGCAGAGCATATATATAAATGGATTATTGAACACGGGGTAGAATCAACTCTAGCTGCTGTAGGCTGTGATTCTATCAATCTTAATACGGGTAAATGATTGATAATAAATACAGGTAAATACTTGATAATAAATGTCATACATATATGTAAACACAGTTCTTTTTTAGGTTGGAAAAGAGGTATCATTCATCTTTTAGAAAAAAAAAAACTTCAAATAAAACTTATTTGGATAGTTTGCGCTTTGCACACAAATGAACTACCCTTGAGGCACTTTATGTCAATTATAGACGGGAAAACAACTTCAAATAACAAGTTTTCTGGAAACATTGGTAAGCTTGTTCCTAATGCAAATAATCTCATAATTTCCACTGTGATTCAAGATATAGATACTGAAATTAATTTATTACGTATTGATGAAGATATTTTAAAAACTTTATCGAGTGATCAAAAATATCTATACTGAATAACAAAGGCTATCAAAAATAAAATAATGTCCGAAAATTTAAAAGAAATTCAAGTTGGTCCCCACAATAACGCACGCTGGTTGAATTTGGCAAGTAGACTTTGCAGAACTTGGTGTTCAGAGCATGGACTAAATAAAAACTATGTTGAGCATTTAAAACACCTTGTACAGTTTTGTGTTGGTGTATATTCTGTATTATGGTTTGAAATTAAAATAAGAAATGTTTATATGTAGTCTGATAATCGTCTATTTATTTTTGTGTATGATTAATGTTCAGGTAAAACATAAATGGACTAATGGACCATACCATATTATCAAACAGTCCAAAAAATGAACTTAAATATGCAACAAGCAGTTTTGCTCTATGTTTGCTCCTCTGTCTCGAATGCTCACAGTGAATCTATTCTACAAGGACTACTATGCAGCAAAGATAAAGAGGAGAGGAAGTTTGCAGTGAATAAAATACATTCAATAAGGAGTTTATGCTCCCTAGGAATTACTGCTGTTAGACCAAGAAATATCCCAAATATTATTACTAATGCTAAAACTATTATCTAATTGATTGATTGGAGTAATGATATTTACGAACCTTTGCTCACATGCAAGATTGGTAAAGAAGAACTTATTAAGTTTTTTGAAGTCCGAATGGAAGTTCAAGAGTTTCATGTACAATTCATAGAAAGAATTATGTAAGAAGTTACAAGAGCATTTAGTTTAATTTACGGACAGGAAAGACGAGACGGTTTATAAAGGCAACAATAGCTCACAGAGAACTTCTTCTTGTTATAGAATCTAAACAGAATTTGCTTAAGCTTTTTTAAGCAACAAGTTTATATTTATTGTATATTTAGTAACTAAGTTTACTCTTTCATTGTGAATGATAAATTGGTAAATACTGCTATAAACAATGATTAATGATTTTTCATGTTTCTAATTGATTGTGTCTCGCGTTGTGGTTGAGAAATCCTTTGAAACTGTTTTGCTGCATTATATTCACATAACATTGTAATGGAAGATATTGCAGCAAAATATATCAAAATCAACGATTTTTGTAAACTTTTATAATTATAACATTTTAGGCTAAAATGATTACCTGGGTGTCTAATTAGGGGTATTTGGGATCGAGGAATCCAATAAAGATGATTTTGAGTCAATCGGAGCAAGCAGTCAAAAGTTGTGGCAAACCGCGTATATAGCGTTTTTTACCTAAAACCTCAAATTTTTAGGTCAAAATTTGAAAACCTCAAAACAAAATTTTCTTTTTTTTTTTTTGGATTACTTTTGTATAAGGGCAAAAACATTTAAAAATCATACGGTCTAAGCATTTACTGAGAAAATTTGAAAAATGACCCGCCCTAATGGCTATGTAGTTACACAATCTTTGCATTTTTTATTGGAATACCTTTTTTAGTACTTAAAATTTATGAAAATCTTAACTTTGAAACATTTCATCATGGGATTAAGTGTTGCATTTCTAGCTTAACAGTGACCCAAATCATAACTTTTGACATAAAGTTTGATGAGATATGTTGTTTTTTAA